GTGTGTATATAAAGTCGTTTTCCCTTTTTTTTTTGGCTTTCCCAATCAGACTTCATTGATGTCCGTACACACCCAACACTCTTCTTCCTCACCCCAACGGTCATATTTCTCCGACAACATACAAACGGTCACTAAACCCCACAACCATTTTCCACCGTCAGATTCTGAAGATCCAACGGCTCAGAAACATCCAGATTGCCTCGTGTACCACTCACTCTGCCCAACCCTAAAAAAAAAAGAATTACTGTAAAAAGAAAAGTGCCAACTTCAATTCTCGATGTCCCAAGAAGAAAACAAACTAAAAAAGTAGGTGAAGTATGGTATTAGTAGAAGAAGCTGTATGGTACCACAATCTGTAGAGTGTTAGAGAGAGAAACAAAAGTGAGTGAGTGAGAGAGAGAGTGAGAGAGAAACAGAGTGAGGGAGAGAGAGAAACAGAGTGAGGGGGAGAGAGAGAGAGGAGAAAAGGAACAATCTTTGAGAGTTTTTGATCCTAGATTTAGGACTTTCGAAGAGTTTCAGGAATCTCTGAGTGATTTTCTAATCTGGGTTTTGTGTTTTGGTGTTTCTGGATGATCTGAGGAAGTTTCTTGATCTGGGGATATTGGCAAACCGGAATGGGAAATCCAAATGGAGAACCGGGTTTACTACAACTTTCGAGTCTGTTCATCAACGGAACCCAGCAACTTCGTGATCTTCTTCTTCTTCAACAGAATCCTCTGTTCATGATGATGTGAATTCGTTGGTCGTCATTATCATCTAAATAAGATTTTGTTTGAGAAAAAAAAAGCTTGAGGAATCCGATGATTGTTTTATGGTAGATTGATTTGAGCAAGTTTTAGATTAGTTCGATTCTTTCATTCTTTATTTGAATATAGATTTCTTCGTTCATTTTGGGGAGGGGATTCATTTCATTCATCATTTTTTTTCTTCTCAAATTTGCATATTAAGTCACACCAACCAAAAAAAATCATTCTTTTCTTTTCACCTTGATTTGACAACAATTCATTCTTTTTATTTCATCATAGGACTCACTTTGATTTCATAACATAAGAAAAACAGGATAAAAAAACACACCCTTTTGATTTTGATTCTTTATTCATCGGATTCCATTTTTTTTCATCAATTGCTGTTTGTGCAAACACACACACACACAGACACTTAGAGCATCTCTCACATTCTGTAAGAATCAAGAAACCTGGAATTTAGATATTTGGGTGGGTAGATTTTGTAGAGGATGTTGGCAGGTTGTTCAAGCTCTTCATTGTTGTCCCCGACCCGAAGATTAAGGAGTGAAGCAGTAGCAGCAACATCAGCAGCAGTAGCAGTGCATTTTCCCATGAACACACAGAGATTGGACTTACCCTGCAGTAGTAGCTTCTCTCGCAAGGAAACACCTTCGAACCGACCACTTGGAAGAAGCATCTCACTCGACAACAACAACAACAACAGCAACAAACCTATTGAGCGCAAGACCGGTGGTTGTTCACTTAAGCAGAGCATAAAGCTTCCACCTTTGGCAACAACAAGAGGAAGTGGAGACGGGTTTTCTTGGAACAACAACAACAACAACAGAGGGAAGAAGAGTCTGAAGAGATTGGCGGAGGAGGACAAGGAGGACGAGTCTTGTCTGAGCAGAGTGAAGAGGCAAAGAGGCGAAACCGAGGATGATCATAGTAGGAGTTTCTGGTTTGAGCATTTCACTGCGCAGAACACATCTCCAGGACTACCTTTTACTCTGACTTGTTCAGGTGATGATGAGGAAAAAGTTTGTTTTGCGCCAAGCGAAGTGATCTCTCAGCCTTTACCGAGTAATCCAAACTGGGTTAACTCGTCGGTGATAACTGAGTTAGCTGGTTTAGGCGATAAGGACATTGAGAGTAGCCGTCCTGCAGCAGTTAAGGAAGCATCTGGATCATCAACAAGCGCATCATCAGAGAGTCATAGCTTAAGACACAGAGTTCAAGAACCTACAAATGGTTCAAGGAATCCATATTCACACCGAGGCAACGCAGAGGAAAGAACCAGCGAAAACATCAACAACAACAACAATCACAGGAACGATCTGCAGAGGGATTTCGAGCTCGTGAATTTGGTTACTGGATGCTTAGAAGCGATCAGAACAAGGAACATAGCTGCGATCAACCATTTCATCGCGAGAACCGGTGATCTTGCATCACCTAGAGGAAGAACACCAATGACTCGACTCATATCTTACTACATTGAAGCTTTGGCTCTTCGAGTGGCTCGTATGTGGCCTCACATCTTCCACATCGCACCGCCTCGTGAGTTCGAGAGAACAGTCGAGGACGAATCAGGAAACGCATTGAGGTTCTTGAATCAAGTGACACCGATTCCAAAGTTCATTCATTTCACAGCAAACGAGATGTTACTCAGAGCGTTCGAAGGAAAAGAGAGAGTCCACATAATCGATTTCGACATCAAGCAAGGTTTACAATGGCCTAGCTTCTTCCAGAGCTTAGCTTCAAGGTCAAATCCACCGCAACACGTGCGTATCACTGGAATCGGAGAATCCAAACTCGAGCTCAACGAGACCGGAGATCGTCTCCATGGATTCGCAGAGGCGATGAACCTTCAATTCGAGTTTCATCCCGTTGTTGATAGGCTCGAGGACGTTAGGCTATGGATGCTTCACGTCAAGGAAGGAGAATCAGTCGCTGTAAACTGCGTTTTGCAGATGCACAAGACGCTCTACGATGGAACGGGAGGGGCGATTAGGGATTTCGTGGGTTTGATCAGAAGCACGAACCCAGTCGCTCTCGTAATCGCGGAGCAGGAAGCGGAACACAACTCGATGCAGCTCGAGACGCGAGTCTGTAACTCGCTCAAGTACTATTCGGCGATTTTCGACGCGATTCACACCAATCTGGGTACGGATAGCTTGATCAGAGTCAAAATCGAGGAGATGTTGTTCGGGAGAGAGATCAGGAACATTGTGGCGTGCGAAGGGAGTCATCGGCAAGAGAGGCATGTGGGTTTTCGCCATTGGAGGAGGATGATGGAGCAATTAGGGTTTCGGAGTTTAGGCGTCTCGGAGAGGGAGGTTTTGCAGAGCAAGATGCTGCTTAGGATGTATGGATCTGGCAACGAAGGATTCTTCAATGTCGAGCAAAGCGATGAAGACGGCGTTGGAGGCGGAGGTGGAGTCACGTTACGGTGGTCAGATCAGCCGCTTTACACGATCTCGGCTTGGGCTATCGCCGGAATCGGAGGGAGTTCTTCGTTTTAAATAAAAAGAAATCTTATACATTTAGGGTTTTTAGAGACTTTAGAGAAAGAGGAAAATGGTTTTTTTAAAAAAAAATAGGGGAAAATTTGATTTTATTCTTTTATTCTTTTTTCTTGGGGGTACGAAAATTTCTTTTATAAAAATTTAATGATTAGAAGAAATATTTTGTCTTAGTTTGGAATTTTTGCATGTAAGTGGAAGAAATATTTTGTATTAGTATGAAGTTTTTTATTCTTTAACCAATAAAAAGTAAAGCAGTTATATGAATCTACAGCTAGAAAGCTTAATGATATTTTAATTTATTAAATTTTTAAGATATTTTTCTTTGAAATTAAAGCAACAAATATATGCCTGAGAAAGGAAAAACTTAACCTCTACTGTCATTAGTGTCATATTATGATTGTTATTCTGGGCCTTGTCTGAGGTCGGCCCATTATTAGGAGGAAGTCTTCATTGTCTGTTTTTGTATTAGCTTGCGATCGATAGTTTCTGTCTTTCTGACTAGTAATGGCTAGATTGTAGTAATGATTCTCTTTGTGTTAAAACTTAAAAGAAGACTGCATTAATGGTTTTAATGGTTGAAAATAATGTAAGTCAGATTCGCTAGACAATCAAACTTTGAACTAAGTTAACGAGAAAATCATTTATATACTATTCTAAGTACTTAAAGGAAATAGAGAATATCCATATTTTTAGGTTGTAATATTAATAAATTATTTTAATACAATGACCAAATTAAAACAATCACCGTAAACAAAATTTAGTAAAATAAATTAGTTAGTAATGTAATATAATAACTATTGAAAATCAAATAGTAGATTGTTGTGAGAAAACATGTTTATTTCAGTGTTTAGTATATGTTTTCTTTTTTTGTTAGGTTAGACGCACGGAAGTACTTTTAGATTAGTAGTGATTTCAAATCAATACCATTATTTATTTAGAATTTTTTTCTGGGTGAAAATTAGCTCAAAAATTGTGAAATATGTATTTAGGAAAAAAAAAATGTTGCAAAGATTCTAACCTCAAGAAGGTACCAACTTGAACATAGTTTTATGCTATGCCTATGAGAATAAAAACAAAGGACAAGTTGCACGGAGTTTGTCTCCTACGTACTTCTTCTATGTTCCGTCGATAATGTCCTTATCATATATATTTTTAATTTTTTAATTTTTAATTTCCTATTTTACAGTTGTTCTGATGATTTTTTTTGTCTGTTCTGAACAAATTCTGATATTATGTTGTTCTAATCTTTTGTCGCCTAAGCTCGACTCTTATCACTCATATGTCACTCTCGAAATAGAAAGAAACTTATTGAAATGGTCCAAATGGATCTTCGAAAATTACATATATATTTTTCGATAAAATGATAAAGGAAATTATTTTTCGATTAACGATATATTGTTGGTATTGAAGGCTTATGGAGAGCCATACAACGAGGTTGGTCGGAAAGTAGGTCACTGGGGAGTGGTGATTAAATTTGAAATCATTATATTTTGTGGTCACTAGAATGTTCAGTCAACCAATAAGAAGTAAATTGCAAAAATATTGAACTAAATTTGTTAAAAAGACATGTACTATAAGCAATTGTCAAATATTTCGTTATAATAGATAAATTGTTATATGTTAAAGAAATATGAGTCATTATCAAGATGAATAAATAAAATCAGTTCTGAGAGATACACAGTCATTATCAAACAATAGAAACATAATAATTAATGGAGAAAGAGGTTTTTACGTGTTCGTCGAACACACACGAGGACTCCTTGGAGGCACTTGTACCGGTACAGTTGTTCTCGTGCTGAATAAAAGCATCAACAGTTTATACCAGAAGAGAAACATACAATTTCGTCAAAAATATTATTGCTAAAAGCCTAAAACTAAAATAATCATCTTGGTTTTGTTTTTGGGTCTCAAGTGGTACATCTCTATATTCTCTATATTATTATTTGAGTAGACATTCATAAATGAACCTTTATTTGTAAAATATTACAGAATATTTTACATAAATAAATATTTATTTATAAGATATTACATAAATAAACCTTTATTTAGAAGATATTACTTAAACAAACTTTAAAAATATAGAAAGTTCAATTAAATATATGGATATAAATCAAAAGTATATTTAATTTCTTTACTTATTAAAATATTAAAATATATTCTATTGTTTTAAATAATAATCAATCCATATATATGAAAAAATCAATTTAAACTTTTGCAATATTTTTTTCATTTGTATTTCCATTATTATTTAGTATCATTTTCGAAAATCAGTTCAATTATTTATATAAAAAATGAAATTATGTTTTCAAAATTTAAATTATTTTTTTTTAACGGGTTGGCCAAAAAAATAGTTTAGTAAATTGTGAAATATATTAAGTAGACGGGTTTTCCATTTTGACAATCCTATATATAACCATTGTTAACACATATTATATAAGTTATTAACTAAAAATGATAGTTTGATCTCTAATAAAATATTCACAATTAAATTTTTATTTTATGAATATATATATATATAGATTTTAATCCATGTTGGTATGTATATAAATATATATATATATATTAATATCATATCACTTTCATATTTAAAAAAGCTACTAATAATTAAACCGCATAATAATATATATACAAGTAAATATCAGTTGTGTGATATTTATATAGGTATTGTTATCTAATTGTCACCAATTTTATTTATTTATATTTTTTGGTAAAGAACTTTTGTCACCAATTTAATTTAACAAAAAAAATAAATTAAATTTCAAGATAATTAAAAAATATTATCCTGCATAATATGCAGGTTAATTCCTAGTTGTAAAAATAATTGCACGTACTCATAATAAATAGTCAAAAAAGAATTGTACACAATTTTGTTCGCAAAATATATGTCTGTGACTGTGTGAGATAAAGTATTACTTAAAACATTACTGATATTCGAATTGGTACTAATAGAAACATTCAAATACTAGAGTACAATGTTTTTATAATGGATTTTAATAGAATACCTACGTGTAGCCTATCCAAATACTGAAAAAACTTTATTACTTTAAAATGAATTACAAGAGCATGGGATCATACTACAAGAAGTTGATGAAGAGAATTGTACATGACATCACTATATGCATAGTGGATTCCCAACTTTCCAATCACATAAATTATCTTATTATTTAGTTTATGTTCTTTAATTATCCTGTTTTAAAAATCATTTTCCAAGGTCGTCTTTGGTTGCTTATTCATTCCGTAATCTTTCGGCCAAAAATATAGCATCAGAAGAAAGTTTTTAAAATTACTATTTAGCAATTTGATGGTCTTTTTTCTGGTCAACAATTGATTCTGCCCGATTTTTTTATACGAGCAAGCTGAATTAAGCAGACTATTTTGTGGTTTATAATATTAATTTACCCATAAAATGAGTATTTTTTCAAAATAGTAAATACTATTACAGGCTAGTTATTCAGCCAGATTTTTTAAAAATCTTATTACTAGTTTCAAGCTGGATTCTATCTCGATAATTTGGTCTAAAAGAAAAATTTGATGTACACAATTTGTTATATAATAATGGATTTAACTCAAATAGTTTCATGGTTTAGAGAGTACTCGCTTCGTGAGTTTTTTGGTTATAAAAAAATGGTAGGAGTTCCAGACCTTTTATATATCTTCCACAATATATAGAGTCAGTCTTTAGATATTCTGATTTAAAGAATAACCCTCCATCCTAAGTAAATTTGAGAGCTCAGGAGACAAAGATACCAACCCCTTTATACTACCACTAAACCACCCTTTTTGGTTTTTCCAACTTAATTTTTGTGAAGTGAATGAATGTGTTTGTGACAGAAATATATCCCTTATATGTGGATTGATAGATATATAATTAATGAATGAATGTGTTTGTCACACAATATATATGCGCAGTTTGCAGATTTCTAGTTAGCAAACAAAGTCGATCTATAGTGAAAAAAAAAGTACTAAACGGGTTTATCAATTGATTATTTTATTTCCCCGCCAAATCTAACAACTTATTGAATATAATGTTTTTGGTGCATTTGACCAAACAACCTCAAATAAACGTCAGAAATTGGATAATTCGATCTTGATTTTAAAATAAGATTATTTTGGGAGATGCGAATGGTCCTATATTTGCATCGTCAGAGACGAGTGTCCCACGTCGGCAACACGAACACGTACATTCACACGTTCCATGTTTTCCACTTCTGGTCTTTCGAATTATGGAACGTTTTTTTTCTTTTATTCTATGTTCCAATGGTCAGTTTAATCATTTAATATGTCTAGTGGTCAAGCCGAGCTAAATAATTGTCATATGATTTTCCGAGATGGTGAGATATAGTGATAACTTATCACATAACTAAATATTTTGTTGACAGAAAAAAATACTTGGATATCAAATATCAGAAAAAGAACAGTGAAATGTTGCAGTAAATTAAAAATTAAAGTACAGAATCAGACTAAGGAGAATGTTCACAATTCCTTATGAGTTACGAAACATTCTATCGCTAAAAAACATCATAACAGATATTTTATGTGAAACGACATAAGGCTCAGTGCTTTCTTTGTAACTATTATGGAATACTTTTAGTTCAAAATAATTGCAACTTTCGGCGATAACCAGGGGCTAGTGTTATTTATTTGTTTGGCCTTCTCTAGGTCAAATTCTTGTTATTTTTATTACATTCCTTTCAGAGATTATATATTTTATGTAGTTTTCTGGTTATTCGCAGGTCAAAGGTTATACAAGAACATCTCGTTTTAGATGTTTTATTTTGTTTACATTCACATTGTGATTTTAGGTTTTATTATTTTGAGTTGGATCGTATGAAATCTCTTCTAAACTAGTAGATATGTATAGTTCGTAAATGTGGTTTGTACTAAATAAATTAAGTTTCAAAAAAATCAGGTTACTACAAAAAAAAAAAGTTAACACGACAACCAAAAAGTAAATAAGAACATTAACAAATTCATTGTGGTTCGATAGTTGGATATTATTTTGTGGATTAAAAGATCATTATAGTTTTTGTACTGGATATTCGATAGTAATACTTGATTATTATAGACGTTTGGAATGGCGAAATTTATACAATATCTTTGTATAAGTTCTAGACATTACTATGAACACCTGTCTGAGGTTATAACCGAGGAAATAAATAATAGTAAAAATTGCCAATCGGACCAACAAAAACATGCCAGCTAATTGCACATTGCATGTGAGTTTGTCTTTTTGGGCTGACAGTTAGTGCTTTCGCTTGGATTCTTTACCCAATCAATAGAAAACAATGAAATGTATTTTGTTCTAACGTTCCAGCCATGTATCGCTACATTTCTTAGTCCATTCTTATTCTGTAAATAATATCATAATATTATTTGTAGGAAGACGAATACATTCATAGTTTAGGAAGTTCGGAAAAATTATCAACCGAACCTGTAAAAATCTTCAAATATTGTTTTCTGTGTTGTTTATATGTACCATGTCGTACTGCATTTGTTCTGATACTGTTATGGTTTAAGCATGCTATATATATGATATTTTGTAAAAAGAGCTAGTACATATTCCACTGTTTTCTAGTGTTATATTTTGTTTGTGAATGAATTTTAACTGGTTCAAATTGAAAGAATTATAAAAAATCGACAAGAGAAAATACTATGCTATATATGATCAACATTAATTTGCAGCAACACCGCTTTGAACTATATATTAATTGAATGTGTTTAGCGGTTGTTGGCGGAAATTTGTTCTTAGATTTCTTTTCTTAATCGTTCCTCCTATTGTCTTTGCTTTAGAGGTTTTTATTTATGGGATTTGGAGTGATTATCACTTCAGAAATTCAATCTTTCTTAGAGTTGAACTTAATATCTGTTTCATTTTCTTTATTATATATATCGTCATATACATTAGATTTTTCATTGGATTCGGAGTAACTACCGTTGAATTCCATTAATTTTTTTTTGTCAGATCCAACTATCAATAATTTAGTAAAAACGTTACAAGAAAGAAAAACTGCTCAAAACATAAAAATAGAAACAACCGTTTCGTCTATATTTTGACCCATTTTGACCATTCAATAAAATTATTTTTATATATATTTTAAGAAAATTATTAAATCTTCTTATAATACATAATTAATAAATTTTTGTCCCAGGAATTTTGAAATGACTTAAACTTTCGTTGACTCTAGAAAAAAAAAACTATAAGTAGACATAAAAAAAAAAAAATTAAAACTAAAGCCATTAATGATAATGAAAGTTTAAATGGGTTTTTGGTTTTTTCAATTTTAGTTTTTAGTTTTTGAATTGTTGAATTTTGTTATATATTTTAGTTTTATGGATAATATTGTTATTTACCAAAAAAAAACAAAAATAAACTTGGTGAACAAACAAATTTTTGAAGATGAACCATAAAATATGACTTTTAGGCCTGTTTTCTTTGATTTTTTTTTAATTTAAAAATTGGTTAAAATACTTTAAATTTTTGGAAATTTTTTTTTAAAAAAAATCTTAACTGGCTAATAAAGTAGAATTTTCGAGAAAAACATATTTAAAAGCTACTTTTTTTTAGCGAACTAAAATAAACTACTGTTAGACCTTTTAATAAAAAAAATAATAATAAACTACTATAAACTACAAATAATCATAGTCTTATTCTCATACGCGTTTGTTACCAGTCCATTTTTGTGTGTTTACCGTACCAATACCATATACCCTATTTTTTTATAATTCAGCAGATCTCAGAAATTTTAAATACTTATCGACGGGTATACATACTTAGAAAAAGAAGAAAACAGTATTTTTTTTTGTTGTGTAGATATAAGCTGGTCAATAGAAAATATAATTTGTAAGGATTATAAGATTTAAAGTTATATACATTTTAATATTAGGGATAACTATCCTTTCGGAGTAACTTATTTTCTAGAATTATTTTAGTTAAATTCTACTCCCCCATTGTAAATATATATCGTTTTATGTTTTATTTTTGTTTCATAATTATTAATATATATATATATATATGTAATCACTTAAAATGACTTATACTTGAAACAGATAAAATAATAAATAAAAATAAACTAATAAATATATTATCAAATAAAAAAATTAGAAATCTTTCAACTACTCATTTTAGTTTTTGTAAAGAAAGTTAGGAATATTTTTTAATTTTAAATGATCTTTATTAGCCTAGTTACGTTTTTACGAATGTCATTATTGTATTACCACCTGAATTCAAATCGACATATACATACTATTGATAAAATATATATTTAAAATATATTATGTTTGAATAATAAAATTCATATTTCTAAAATTTAAAACTATAGCATGAAAAATCCGTATGAAGTTATAATAATATTAAATTCCAATATATTTATGTGTTTAAAACTATACCATAACAAAATATGTATTGTGTAAGTGTTATACTCAAAACATAAAAAAATTAAGACATTTATGCTACTATAATTATTTTGTTAGCATCATAAATCAAATATGTATAATGTATGTTGTTCACAAAAATAACTTCAAAATATATTGCATATAATAATAATATAGATTATATAATAATAAATTTATATAATTAATACTATAACATGAAAAAAGCGTGTAGAGTTATTATGGTATAAAATCCAAATATACTTATTATGCATTTAAAAGTATAGCATGAAAAACTCGTGTACACATAAATAAATTTTTGTGATACATAATATATTTATTAAAATTTATTTTTAGGTTTTTATATATTAATTAAATATATATATATATATATATCTTAAATGTTATAAATGATATTTGACCAAATTGAATTTTTTTTTGATTTTTTTGTGAGAGGCTATAATAATTAATGAAAATTAATAGTATAACATGAAAAACGCATGTAAAATTATTATGAGATAAAATTTAATTATTTTATATGTTTAAAACTACAGCATGAAAAATTCGTGTAAAGATAAATAATTTTTTGTGTTAATATATATATGTATATGATTTTTCCTTATTTGTTAGTATATAGTTTTAATATTTTATACATCATATATTAATTAAAATAAAGACATATATCTCAAAGTGTTATGAATGATGTTTGAACAAACTGAAAATCTTTTTGTTGTCGAAACTTTTTGTGAGGTGGTGCAAAAATCAATTTAACTAGTACATTGAATTATTGATTTATATTTATTGGTATTTTTTATTTGACAGCATTGTTGGAAAAATGTTGAGTGTGTGAAAATAGTTATTTATAATTGTTAGAAAAAAACAAAATAACTAGCGAAAAAGAATATGAAGTTTTTTATTATGTATGATAATTATAGAAATGAAAACCCTTGAAAAAATTAATGAATAAATATATGTTACTAAGTTTTTCTTTATGAAAAGATTTATTGTTATTAAGGGATAAACAAAAATATTGAAATGTTTAGTTATTTCGTTATTTGGATAAATAGTCTTGTAGACTTGTCTTAATAGACTTATAGTTATATATCTAACTCTTACAGCTCATAGATTACAAAATATATGGATGTGGAAAGAAATGTACGGTCAGTAATTGTAAATTTACGAACAAAACGGATAAAACAAAATCCAATATCCAAAATCCAGCTGATTATTTCCATACTAGTACAAGTACAAGAAACCAAAAAAAAAAAAATACATTTGGTTAGCAATAAAAATTGCCACAATTATTTTTATTTAATACATCCTCGAGTTGAAGCATATATATATATATATACACATATCCTCCTCCCATTTGCGTCACCGTCCAAAATCCGAATCCTTTACACCATTTGTCTGTCACCACCAAACCCTTCTTTTCTTCATTTGCTTTGTTTCTGAGACAAGATTTTTCATTTCTTCGTCAAGAGAAGAAACCCACAACAAAAGTCTCGCAATTTCATATGACTTTTCCGTTTTCCGATTGAAAATCGACGGCTTAAACAGTTTTTTTATTTGGTTTCGATTCATATCGGAAAAAAGTTTATTTTTTTTCCCCAGGGTTTTAATAAATTGAATGGGTTCGGGGTTTTCTCTCTTTCACAATGATTCGTCGTCTTCGTCTTGTTCTGGGAGTCGAGGTCTGTTGAAGCTTGGTTTTGGGGATTTGCCGGAAAGTTGCGTCGCTTTGATCCTCGAGAATTTGGATCCGGTTGAGATCTGTAGATTCTCGAAGCTAAACAGGGCTTTCCGTAGCGCTTCATGGGCTGATTCCGTCTGGGAATCGAAGCTTCCTCCAGATTACAGATTGATTCTCGAGAAAATCCTTGGTGGTTTCCCGGAAAAACTGCGCAAAAGAGATATCTATAATTTTCTCTCTCGTGTTAATTCCTTCGACGAAGGCACCAAGGTTTGTCCTTTTTCATTTTATATATATATACATCTTCTCTCTGTATTTTTCCCCTTTTCAGATTTGTTTTTAGAAGAATTTTTTGGGATCTATTTGTAAAATGATTCGCAAAAAAAAAAACAAATTTTCTCATCCTTCGAAATAAGCTAAGACTAGAAGATTTTCTCTTCCGATGCTTTCCCTGGAGAATTAGACTCGAAAGTTTATGTTTTTAATTCGAGTTTTTGGATGTTTCCTCTGCAGAAAGCTTGGGTAGATAAACGAACCAGTGATCTCTGTTTATGCATATCGGCCAAGGGATTATCGATCACCGGAATTGATGATCGGAGATACTGGAGCCACATTCCGACTGATGATTCTCGGTGAGTTTTCTCACTTACCATCGTTTTTTTCTCCCTCTTTCTCATCAGAGCAGATATATGGCTCTTTTGACTGTGTTTCAATAGAACCGTTGATAAGAATCTCTCGTAATCTTTTGATTCAAATTCTTCAATACTATGTTGGTTGCAGCTTGTCTTAAGAGTTATTAGATGATCTAATTTGGTTTTCTGTATGGAAAAATGGCAGCTTTTATGGAATCGAATCTTGTAATGATTCTTCATTGGACTAAAAATCTTTTTGGGTGATTCCTGCAGATTCTCTTCGGTAGCATATGTTCAGCAAATCTGGTGGTTTGAAGTTGATGGAGAAATCGATTTCCCGTTCCCAGCTGGAACCTACAGCGTCTTCTTCAGGCTTCAGCTAGGCAAACCGGGAAAGCGGTTTGGTTGGAAGGTTTGCAACACTGAACAGGTTCATGGTTGGGGAGTTAAACCGGTTCGGTTTCAAATCTGGACCGATGACGGTCAACACTCTTCGTCTCAATGCAAGTTAACCGAATTAGGAAACTGGAATCATTACCATGCTGGAGACTTTGTGGTCGGGAAATGGAAAAGCTCGTCTACGAAGATAAAGTTCTCGATGACTCAAATCGATTGTACTCATACCAAAGGCGGATTATGTGTAGATTCTGTAGTTGTGTATCCGAGCTCGTGTGTGGACCAGTTGAGGCGGATTTAAAGTCTCAAACTTGTGGAGTTTGGTTTAGTTAAGAGGTTAAAAACATGGGGGTTTTAAAGTAGTTTTTAACCTTGTTTGTAGAATATTTGGGTGGGGATAGTTAGAAGAAACTCATTGTAGAGAAAAAAAGAGGGTAATTAGGGGTCATTGTTTCGTAATTTAGGTCAAATGTAAACGTGAGTTTGAAGTTAAAGGAGGTTTTTTATTTTAACTTTCTTGCTAATGCACTTTGCTGTTTGTGTGGGAAGAAAATGGCTAATTTGTTAATGCTACATTTCGAAATTGGAAGATGGAAACATTTAGAAGTTGAACCGATAATACACTAATTTTGACTGATTGTGTGCTTGGGAATGCACACTCCATATGTGTGAGAAGGTTTGAAATAACCGGATTTCTCAGAACCAAAAACAACCGGTCTTTAACCCAAGACCAACATTGAAGCGATTTTTATTTATAATCTTAGTAACACATCACACATGTAAAAGATTCTTTTTTTTTTTGTCGTAAAGATACTTAATCCTAGGATTTAACATGTTATCCGATATCATAGACTAGAAACCGTTTTTTCAATTTAATATAAGATTCCAGGTTCTTTACACCATAATAATCTGTTGAATAGCCCTTGATCTTAAAGTAAACCAAAATCTATGATAAGTTCTACTTTGACATATAATCATTTTTATGTATATAAATAAATAGTACTTTATGCTGATTGGAAGAAGAATCAAATTGACCGTTGATTACAGACAGAAACCAGATTTTGCAATTGCTTTCTCTTGTGCCAGTTATGATTACAGAGAGTTATTGAGAATTGGGTTTCTCGATAATATTAAGATAGATGATGCGATTGGTCTGTTCAGCAAAATGGTCAAGTCTCGTCCTTTACCTTCCATTGTTCATTTCAATAAATTGTTGACTGCAATTGCCAAAATGAAAGAGTTTGATGTTGTCATCTCTCTGGGATAGAAGTTGCAAAAGTTGGGGATTTCATATGATCTGTATACATATACGATATTTTGATAAACTGTTATTGCAGCTCCTCTCAGCTCACTCTTGCTTTAGCATTTATCAGTCACTTTCAATGCATTGATAGATGCATTTGCAAAAGAGGGAAAATTTTTTGAGGCCAAAAAAACTGTACGAGGAAATGATCGGAAGGTCTATAGATCCCAACATTTTAACATACAATTCATTGATCAACGGACTTTGCATTCATGATCGTCTACAGGAGGCCAAATAGATATTTGCTTTGATGGTTAGCAAAGGTATTCTCCCGAATGTAGCGATTTGTAATATTCTCATAAAGGAGTTTTGTAAGAGCATGTACATTAGTGAACCCCTAAAATGCTTACAAACATTTTTGGTGTTTTTGAGGATATGGAAAGAAAGCTTACAAATTACAACTTTATAAATGGAAATAATTAAATAATTGTGGATTTCTGAGAAAAACATCTGTCCTTATCATTGATCTTGTCTTTTTGTTTCATGAAGTGGATTAAAGGAATTCAATGACTTGAGTCTGATCATAGGATCATAGAATCAACTTTAAGATTAACACCAAAGATTTAACACTTTTGTATGGAGAGTGTTATTGTCAGCTTTGTGAACTAAATAGAAGTGAGGTATGTATTCTCATCGATTCAACAAGTCAAAGAAACTATTAAGTATTAACCATCTCTTATTCAACAGGACCTCGAGACTATTGAATCTGCAACTTGTGGGCTTGCCAACCATCTTCTCTGTGACTGTGAGGTGAATCGACTTGTGATTATTGTTTATGCAGTTTACGTTTTCATATTGAAAAAGTTGTTCTTGATCCGTTTCGTTTATGACAAACCCGAATTGGTTTATATCGATTTCTATGGTTATGTCTATTTTTGACTATTGGTCTGAAATGTCTGCGACTCAACTGAACCGAAACCAAAATGATTGTTTGAGACTCAATCGAACCAAAACCAAAAACTCGTGAGTCACCAAACATGATAAGATGAAATCTTGACCGTCGAATACCAAAATAATCCAACGGCTCTGGAAATCCATCTTCTTCTTCACCTGCTCATTTAGAGCAAAAGATTCTCGAGAGAAACCTTCAAACCTAATCAGCTGAAGCCAAATCGAGATGATGAAGTTTGCGATTGCATCGACAGCGAAGAGATTTGTTCACCGGAATCTTCTAGTTAGAGGTATTCCTGAAACTAATTCTCCCTGCGATTTTCGTTGCTGGGAACGAGCTTTCTCTGGTGATAGTTGTGATTACAGAGAGAAGATTAGAAATGGGTTTCTGCAGAATATTAAATTAGATGATGCAATTGGTTTGTTCGGTGAGATGGTAAAGTCTCGTCCTTTTCCTTCCATTGTCGACTTCAGTAAATTGTTGAGTGCTATTGCGAAGATGAAGAAGTTTGATGTCGTCATCTCTATGGGAGAAGAGATGCACAAGCTGGGGATTCGACATGATCTCTACACTTACAATATTTTGATAAACTGTTTTTGCCGCTCCTCTCAGCTCTCTTCTGCTTTCGCTATTCTTGGGAAGATGACGAAACTCGGGCATGAGCCCAGCATTGTCACACTTTCCACGCTGCTCAATGGATACTGCCATGGGAATAGGATTTCAGATGCAGTCTCTCTGCTTGATCAAATGGTGGAATTGGGATACAAACCTGATACCGTCACATTCAACACTCTGATTCATGGGCTTTTTCTCAACAACAAAGCTTCCGAAGCAGTGGCTTTAGTTGATCTGCTTACTTATGGTGCGGTGATAAATGGAGTGTGTAAGAGAAGTTATATGGATTTGGCTTTAGATCTCCTCAAGAAGATAGAGAAAGGTAAAATTCAGCCAAATGTTGTGATCTACAACACAATCATCGATGGTCTTTGCAAATACAGAGATGTGAATGACGCACTCAACCTATTCAATGAAATGGAGAACAAAGGAGTTAGACCTGATGTTTTTACCTACAACTCTCTCATAAATTGCCTTTGTAATTACGGAAGATGGAGTGATGCCTCTCGACTACTTAGTGATATGATTGAGAGGAAAATCAACCCCAATGTTGTCACCTTCAGTGCGTTGATCGATGCGTTTGTGAAAGAGGGAAAGCTTTTGGAGGCTGAGGAATTATACAAGGAGATGATTAACAGGTCTATAAATCCTGATAATATTACTTACAATTCATTGATCAACGGACTTTGCTTGAACGATCGTCTAGACGAGGCCAAAGAGATGTTTACTTCGATGGTTAGCAAAGGTATTCTCCCAAACGTAGTGACTTATACTACTCTTATAAATGGATTTTGTAAGTCTAAGAGAGTAGAAGATGGTATGGAACTCTTCAGGGAGATGTCTCAAAGAGGAATTGTTGGTGACACAATCACGTATACCACTCTTATCCAAGGGTATTTCCAAGCTGGCGATTGTGATAATGCCCAAGAAATCTTCAAACATATGGTTTCTAGTGGGGTGCCTCGTGGTATTAGGACATACAACACTTTGTTAAATGGTCTTTGTAACAACGGGAAGCTAGAGAAAGCATTGGTCATATTTCAGGATATGCAGAAGAGTGAAATGGAACTTGATATTGTTACATATAGTATCATCATTGAAGGAATGTGCAAGGCTGGTAAGGTGGAAGATGGATGGGATTTGTTTAGCAGCCTCAGCCTTAAAGGAGTAAAACCGAATGTTGTAACCTACACTACAATGATCTCGGGCTTATGTAGGAAAGGCTTAAAGAAGGATGCATATGCCTTATTCAGTAAAATGAAAGAAGACGGGCCTATCCCAAATAGCGGTCCATATAATACGCTGATTAGGGCATATCTTAGAGATGGTGACGAAGTAACATCAGTCAAACTCATCAAGGAAATGAGGAGTTGCAAATTCTGTGGAGATGCTTCAACAATAAGTTTGGTCACTAATATGCTGCATGATGGGAGATTAGACAAAAGCTTTCTGGAGATGCTTTCTTGAAACAGTTTACTATCCTTGAGAAACGGATTGCAGAGCAACCACCTTCGCTTGAAAGCATTAATGAGGTGAATCTTACTTCTGGACGCATTTTACGTTTCCATGTCATTTTCGTGAAAAGTGATGGGATATGGAAGAACCTTTTCCCTTGTAAAAGCCTTCCAAAGAACTCAATTTATGAACCGAGATAAATTGCAGGACTTTTTCTGATATACATTTAGAAAAGAGGAAGCAGCTTTATTTGTCACAAGCTCAAAGAGATTTATTATATGTACACATATCTACAAGACGAGGTCAAGAGAGCAATATGATATGTTTGATTATAGAAAACTTGACATCTTTATGATACACAACTCAGTTATCAGAATCAATATGTAGGCAAACTCAAAAAAAAAAACATTGGAATCAAGACAAACTCAAAAATTTCATCGTCCCAAAACACGTAATCTGTAGCATTCGACCATGAACCGACCGATCATGCATTGCACAGGTTCCACAACAAGCCCTTCTTGATTCAAAAAGCCCTACAATATTACAAAAACACATATATAAAAACATTTTCATGTAAAAACAAAAGACAGTCGGTGTTAGTCGTCTAAAGGTTCTTTCCTCTCGTCTCTCTGCATAGGATAGGATATAAATAGAGAACACTTCGGAGGTATTATTCGATTTAATCTCTACTTTTTGTACTCAAGAACTTGATTTCATATCCTTGGTGGCAATCAGAAGGTGTGTCATGCTCTTTAGTTGATTTGTCTTCCATTTTGCTTCACAAGGGGCAATAATACACATTATATGCTAGAACCTGGAAGTGAACCTATGGACTGTCTTTGCTAACTCACTAACCAGAATCCAGAACTCAAATATATCATCTTGTATGGTGAGTTGCAGTGCTGATATAGCCCCTACTTCTAAGGCATAGATTAGCTCGCATCTACTGGTTTCATGTATTGCTATCTCTTGTTTTATTTGGATTTGCCATCTGAATGGACTCATACAGCATTGATGAAATGTAGCTTGTTCTTATCATAGATGCTTCATTTGTATATAACTACTTTTTTTTACCCTAGGTGCCTAGTTAAAGCTAACCCATTTCATGCTTTTGCTCTAATTTGTTCCTTTGAAATAACAGATTCAGAAGGGGTAACTAAACTGTTATATATAAATGTGTTCTTGTGTGAACTAATTTTTGCATATCATTCATGTCGGATTTATCATATTTTACCTGAAACAAAAGTTGTCTGACTCTTAATTAGGTCCTGGCTTAAAGCTGATACCGCAAAATCTACCAAGAATGTGCCTCATCAGCGATCCAATTCTCAGAAACAGCAAAATGTGTGGTAGTCTTCTCATACTCACAGCAAAGGTTTGAATATATTTGGATCATATACTCAAGTTTCTTGATGTAAGGTTTGTCCTTAGTTTGAAACTATAATTTAGTGGTTCATGAGGGTGATTATCTTTTTAAATCAGTAGAATGATTTTGTTTTGAATCAGTGCACTGAAAGTAATTAGTCATCCACTAATAAACTGTAACGACTAATTAGTTGCTGTCACTATATAGTTTTTAGTGTTCTACCAGTTTTTGGAGAAACTAGAAACTATACTATGTTCTCTTTACCTAGGAACTGAATTTTTGCCCCTTTTTCTGAAAGTTATGTAGATTGGATAAATCTTTAACTCGAGAGATGGTGTTAAAGAACTGAACAAATAAAGAACTGAACTACCAAACCAGATGTTAATCTGTTTGCCGGCTTATGGAACCGTTTCAGTTATATGATGCGGACTAGTCGACCAATTATGATAGTTGACCAATTAATAGACTAAGAAATTAAGAGTAGAGGTGGTTTTAGTTGTGTCGTTGATTTTTGCTGAAATTTAAGGTCATTGAGAAAAAATGGATGAGAACCTAACATTAAGAGCCGAGCAGCTTAATCTTGAATCTTTGGATACAATCATACTGTTATAGGTAAACCATTAAGCAGCTGAGAAAACCAGAAAGTACTTTTAAAACCACACACACACAAAAAAAAGACAGAAAACAGAAGCAAAGTAATTAATAAAAGATTCAGAAACTTCTTAACTAGCTAATCTTGCTGCAAGCCTAATCCAGATTCAGACTCTTCTGGTTCAGTGCAAAAAGATCCTTGGGACAGTTCTTTCTCCCTGCATAAAGCAAAATTTTAAATCAAATTCAACTCAAAAGATTAGCGAAAAGTCAATCCTATCTTCTAATCTTCATAAAAGACCGAAATATCACATACCAAATGAAACTTATGAGCATCAGAATCACACTCTTTTCTCACTATCTCTTTAGTTTGTTAAAAGTTAGCTCAAGTGTAAGCTTCAATTAGTTTATCTTTCAAACTGTATAACTCAGACAACTGAATATAGTTCAAGTTTATTTCTAAAACATAACAATCCAAGCAACCCAAACAATCATCTTACCTACCTCTCAACAATGGCTAGTTCATTGAAACGACCAGTTACATGTGCATCATTTGTTAAATCCATGAGATAAGAAATGATGGGATGGAAACGACCTCCCACATATTTCTTCAACTTTTCCGGCTCCTGCAAACAAACAACAAACAAACAGTTATTTTCCGAACTGCTTGCTTATATATAAGAAGAACTTATATGTAAGAATGTGCTTATATATATATATATTTATTTATATATATATAAAAAACTTACATATAGTGACATGATGTTTGCAATTCGCTTAAGAGCATCAATATTCTGGCTGCAAGCCCCAAGGCCAACGCTTTCACCTAAACCAAATTCCTTCGCAAGTTCAGCTAGCTGCGTGAATTGGTTGGTTAAAAAAAGAACTTTATGTTAGATGTTACAAAACAAAAAAATCAACAAGTTAAACAAAGAATAAAACAAATACAGAGATACCTTTTTGTCTTTTAAGAAGAGACGTGTATCATATACACGTATGGCCTTGGGAGGTTTGAGGCCGTTTTTTGCAAAAGCTTTCTACAACTTTTGGTCGGATATGTCATGGCCAATCCAAATTTGATCGTGGAGCGTGAAGTGGACATAATCGGTGATACTATGCAGCCAATGTTGGTGGTACGCTCCGCTCCCGGGTTCGGACCGGTTAAAGACCGAAACCGGCCCAATTAATCTCGGTTTACGACGGTCTTAGCCGAAATGGGCCTGGCCTGACAGCGCGGCCCATAAGAGAGAAGCCCAGCGGCAAGAGGCGGTGAGAGCTGAACGAGAAGCCCTAGAACATCTCCTCGTTTATGTACTATAAATAGTAGAATTGTTACTGTAGAAGGGATCTTTTTGGGACACGGAGAATAAAGACCTGAATATTGTATTGAGTTCGTCGAGAGACCTCCGAACTGAACGAACTGTAATTGAGAACTTAATAAAATTCAATCAATTTAATCTTCTGAACTCGAATTACCAAACCGACCCCAGAATAGTTGAGAACCACAATCAACAATTGGCGCCCACCGTGGGGCCGATTCGGTAATCGACCTCGAAGACATGACGACCGATGATGGACAACCGACCTCAGTTCAGGTCGGGGGTCAGATGACCCGTGCAGACGATGGACGACCGACCTCAGCCCAGGTCGGGAGTCAAATGACCTGTGCCGACGACCCCACCCAGGTCGGAGGACATACAGGGGAAGGCGACCGCAGTCCTGTGCGACCTCAACCTGGAACGCAAGAGATTAGAGCATAACCGAGCTCAAGCACCGGGGCTCACCAGGCTTCACCAGCTGCCTTCGATCCAACCGCACTCATGAACGCCTTCGCTGCTCAGATGCAAGAACTAGTCCGCAGCAATGATGTCAAATTCGCGACTCTCACCGCGCAGATCTCTAGCCTAGAGCCCGCTTCGACGACGAAACCTCATCAGCGACTTCCAGGGAGAGCGAGACCCGCAGTGCACGGTGGCACGGTCGGTAATACAGCAACAGCAACATTCTGAGAGCCCGTCCCAGCACATACGAGCTCAACCGACGGCGCGCGACCTGGAAATCGAATGGATGCAGGCCCAACTGCGAGAGATCAGTTCCAAATTTCACCAAGCCACCAGTTCGGCACCTGAGATTGACCGCGTAATCCAGGAAGCACAGAAAACACCGTTCACTTCCCGGATCACCAACGTCCACGTTCCTAACCTAGAAAAGTTTAAACTGCGTTCATACGAAAGGAACTCGGACCCGAGGCATTTTCTTACCTCGTTCGGTATCGTGATCAACCGACTGAAGTTCACCTCGGCTGAGCAGAAGGATGCGATCCAATGCCAGTTGTTCGTTGAACACCTCGAAGGCATAGCTTTGGATTGGTTCTCAAGATTGGAAGCCGGCTCCATCGACAACTACAAGGAGCTTTCGACTAAGTTCGCAAAGCATTTCTCGATGTTCATTGGGTAGAAAACCCGTAACTCCGAGCTGTGGGAGATATCACAGGGTGAAAACGAATCACTCCGAGACTTCATGGCACGTGTCAAGCAGATCGTGGCGCACTGCACGGTAGACGACGTGGCCGCCCTCGAAGCTTTATACCAGAAAACATGGTACAAATCACCTTTTCATAAAGAACTTCGCAGGAACAGACCCCTCACCCTCGAGGACGCGCTCCACAAATCAAACATCTTCATCGCGGAAGAAGAAGAAGAAGCCGCCAAAGATCGGCAGTATTCAGCGTCAAAGCCCGGCCAGACCTTGACCACCAAAGATAATTCGGAAACAAAAGTCCAGTCCGGCAAACCGCGTGGAGTAGTGAACCAGGCAGGACCGTCAAACCAAAAGTCAGGACGGCCACCAAAATCTTGGAACACATGGCATAAAGGCGATGATACGCCTCTAAGTGAACGTTTTTGCGAGTATCACGAGCGATATGGGCATAGCACGGAGGAATGCCGACATCTGAGGGACTTTTTACTTCAACAGTTCCGCAAGGGCGAGAACGACACCGCAGATTTGCCTAAACCGGGACCCCGGCGGCCGAACCCGTGACCAAACAAACCCGGCAATCAAGAAGCCGCTAAGGCAGCCGACTCTGATGAAGAACAGGTTGCTCCCCCTAAACGAGACCGCGAAGCACCTAATAGAGAGACGAACGTACCCAAAACCAGGAAGAAGGTCAATATGATTATGGGAGCCCTCGAATCATGCAACTACTCCGTCCGAGCCCTCAAAGAGTACAGCCGGCAAGCATCGAGTTCGCAACCCCAGACAACGGTCGCAACCATACCACTGCTATTCACCGACGCCGACCTGCGGGGAGTGCATATGCCTCATAACGATTGCCTCGTCGTGGAGCTTCAGCTCGGAGATGTCGAAAGCAGGATATTGATCAACACGGGGAGTTCGGTAAACGTCATATTCAAAGAAACACTCAAGAATATGGATTTTCCGGATTCCGAGATCATGCCTTACATGGAATCATTAACCGGGTTCACCGGAGAGAAAACAAGGACAGTAGGAACGGTGAAGATACCCATTTATGTCGGCGGGTCTGCTCGAATGATCAAATTCTTGGTCCTCAACAAACCGGCAATATATAATGCGATTTTGGGAACGCCATGGCTGTTCGACATGAAGGCTGTCGCTTCAACGTTCCATCAGTGCGTCAAGTTTCCCGATCCCGTCAGGGACTTTCACCCTCAAAGAAAGCCAGACCGCGTCCCGATTATGCCATCTCACCGAGTGCAAACTCAGTCTCGCACGGACATGCGTTATCAGCCCCTTTCAGGAAGATCGTGCAGCCGCAGTAAGCCAGTTCGGTCCACCCAAACAGAGCCAAGTCGACCAAGTCTGCATTGATCCAACAGATCCAGAAAAATGTGTTGGCATAGGGGCCGAACTCGACAACAATATTCGGGAAACACTCATCAGTTTCCTCCAGAAGAACGTCTCCACATTCGCATGGACTATCAGTAACATGCCTGGAATCAATCCAGACATCACTTGCCACGAGCTAAATATCGATCCTACATACAAACCTATCAAACAGAAGAGAGAAAGCTCGGACCCGAGAAAGCGCGAGCAGTTAACGATAAGGTCGAAAAATTGTTCAAAGCCGGTTCGATCACGGAGGTTCGATACCCGTATTGGCTAGCAAACCCGGTAGTCGTGAAGAAAAAGAATGGAAAATGGAGGATCTGCGTCGACTTCATCGACCTGAAAAAAGCTTGTCCCAAAGATAGTTTCCCACTACCACACATTGATCGGTTGGTAGAGGCAACTGCCGGCAACGAACTGTTATCTTTCATGGATGCCTTCTCAGGGTATAACCAAATCCTAATGCATCCGGATGATCGGGAAAAGACTTCGTTCATCACAGATCGAGGAATCTACTGCTATAAGGTCATGTCGTTCGGTCTTA